TTCCACCTTCTTGCTACTGATCTTACTGAGCTCAGCGTGTGTTGTTTCTTGATAGTTGTCCAGTGCTGCCTTAAACTCTGCCCAAGTGAGAAATTCGTCCCCTAACTTCAGTAGGGACGGCGCGGCAGCCATGTTGGCGCGAGAGACCAGGCCTCAGCGGGAGACGAAAAATAGCGGGAAATCCCTGTCGAGTGCTGATTGGCTGACATTCGGGTCGTAGGTCAAAACCCTGTGTTTTCGAACTTCGGTGGGGATTTCCGTGTTGTTTTCTGATTTTCATCATCCACTAAGATAAACTTGAACACCGAGGTTTAAACTTGGTGCCCCTGAATCCTCAAACACTCACAAAAACCCAGGTTTTGGGCCTACCAAGGAGGCTAGTATTTCGGAGTGTAAATAAAATCTATTTGTCTTTTATATACACTCCGGGAGTGTAAATAGCCACGCCGAAAGTCAAAGATCATGCATATATTATGTAATGTGAAGTGAAGTGAGAGGTGAAAAAGTTATGTCTACTAGAATAACATTATGTATATTGGTTATTACATGTGGGTGCATATGTGTATGTGTGTTGGTTGAACTTACTTGCGTATGTGGTATGTGTGTGCAATACTGTGCATGCATGCATGCGTATGTATGCGTGTTGGTATGTGTGTACTCCGTCAAAATAAATTTATGTAAAGTTATGTGTTGTATCTGTATGTAACGTTATGCATAAAATACAGTAGATACAAATTTGCATTGAAGGTTAACGTTTTCTTGGTGTTAACGGTTACAGGGCGAAAATCGATAGCCATTCTATTGACATAAGATATTGTTTTTCAGACCTGTCTGAAATCTAGGTCACACAAAAATAAACAAGTTGTAGACATCACCCCCCCCCCTTTATACCACGGAATAGTTTCCAATAACGACATGCCCATGTAACCAAGGACGTTATGAAGCCCCTTGACATAAACGGGCTTACTAAACATTACCTGATTCATGGGAGTCGGTAGTGGTCTGAGGAGCCTCGGTCCTCGGCTGGCCTGCATAGCCGTGGGGAGGGGGGCCGGACCTTGACAGCTTTGCGGCGAACTCTCCGTCCTCAGACAGAATATCCAGGTCTCCATCCGGGGAAAACATCTTTTGCTGTGCACTACGACATTTCAATCCATTATGAAGGCCTGACCGATATCGAAAATAGCGAACCACTTAATCGCAGATCAAAACAAACCTCTGCTAGTGACGCTTCCTTTGCCCTGCGTCATGCATTACGCAGACCTAGTTTGTGTTGAAGCGCCACATAGCGACTTCATCTGTAACTGCATATCATAGCGAAGGTCGACACAGATACGTTTCACAGTCTTCGTTTCCTGAGTCTTGCCCGGTACCCGACCGAAGTCTCTACTCTACTCTTCTCAACTCATAGGCCCTCATATACTAGCCATGGAAAGACGTCTTACAAGTTTCACAAAATTTTTATAACCTTTGAACCCGGAACCGCCGTTGTCCTGTGATGCCATTTGGGCTACGTTCACTACACTGTATTAGCCTCTGACGGGCTTTGGAAGCGGCTGAAAAGAGAAGAAATTGTCCAAATAGAAAGGCAATAATCCAGGGGGAGTTGGTCTGCTGAGTCGACGCCGCAGATTCGTTGTTCAACGTTCGCGCTCAACTGCTCAATCTGCGGCTAAAACATGGGTCCACGAAGTGCCATGCTGTTTGTGCTGTTTCTCTGTGCCACGACAACACATTTGTCAGTCGGAATGATCATCTACAAGGATGCTATCACCGGCGACGAAATGTTCAGCGATATCTACAAGGTCAAAACATCGGAAGACGAGATCTTCTACGAAGTTGAGGGCAAGGTGGTGACGAGAAAGGAAGGTTCAGTTGACGATAGCTTGATCGGCGGTGACGCTACCGCCCAGGAGGTTGCAGAGAGTATCGACGAGTCAGCCGTGTCCGGGGTTAACATCGTTCTTAATCACAATCTCCAAGAAACACAATTTACCAAGCACGAGTACATGGAATATATGAAGGAATACATGAAAAAGGTCAAGGAGCATCTAGAGGAGGAACAACCTGAAAGGGTGGAACCCTTCATGGTTGCTGCAACACCCGCGGTCAAACACATTGTGCAGAATTTAGAAAACTGGCAGTTCTTCATAGGCGAAACGGAGAATAAGGAAGGCATGGTGGCACTGTTGAACTATAGGGAGGATGGAATCACTCCATACATGCTCTTTTTCAAGGACGGCCTGAGGGAAGAGAGGGCTTAATTCAATGATGTATATAAACAATATACGCTAGTGGAAATCTATCGCAAACTTCAATGGCACATTTCCAAATCGAACTGCCGTAAACTTCCAAGCTTTGGCACTCGTCCGAAAGCTGCCGAACCTAAGTCAAAGAGAGAAGCGCCTTGTTCACGTACGTACCGAATTTAATGCATTACGAAGCCGCCGCCTTCCTGAATGTAATAGTAGAGTATAAGAACAGGAACATAAGGACCAGAGCACACATCCTCAGAAGTACAACACAGAAGAAATCGAGAAGGACGATTTCGGCCAACTGTACTACTTAAGCGGATTAACTCCCCTTTCATAACATTTGTCTATTTGGCCAATTTCTACTCCTCTGGTAGACTGCACTTTTCACGTCAACCATAATAACCTTTGAACCCTGATCCCTTTGATGGCTGTACTTGTTCTTCTGCATGTAGACGTGGCATTTTGTGGGTTCGTTCTCTGGGCCTGCAGGTTCAATAATACGTTCCTTCTGTCCTAGTCCGGGAGTGACTGTTGAACCCGGCGGCATCGCTTCTTCGCGCATTTCTCCGGCAAAACGATGGGTCCACGAACTTGACGAAGTACTATGCTGTTTGTGAGTTTTCTCTGTGCCATGACAACACATATGTCAGCCGGAATGATCATCTTCAAAGATGTTTTCACCGGCGACGAAATGTTCAGCGATATCTACAAGGTCAAAACAACAGAGTACGATTTCTTCTACGAAGTTGAGGGCAAGACGGTGACGAGAAAGGTAGGATATGACTATAGTATTTCCGGAGTTGACATCGTCCTTGATCACCATCTCGAAGAAACCCTGTTTGACAAGGCCCAGTACAAAGAATATTTGAAAGGATACGTCAAAAATCTCACGAAACATCTTGAAGAGCATAAACCTGAGAGAGTGGCGGCCTTCGTGGCTTCTGCGCTACTCGCGGTCAAACAAATTCTGCTGGACTTCAACTACTATCTAGCCTGGGTACCATCCCCAGTAGTATATTCGCAAACTCTATAACTGGTTATAGAGTTTGCGAATATACTACTGGGGATGGTACCCAGGCTAACTACTATCAGCTCTTCTCAGGAAAAACGGACACGGATACCGAAGGCATGGTGGCACTGTTGGACTATAGGGAGGATGGCGTCACTCCCTACATGCTCTTCCTCAAGGACGGTCTGAAGGAAGAGATGGCAACTCAATAATGTAAGCAGGACACCAGTGGAAATCTATCGCAACTTACTTTAAAACTATCCAACTGTTCCCATAACAACTTCCCAGCATGATCACAATACCGGAAAGCTACCGCACGTATATACAGGTGTCAAGATCGATATGCATATCTTTAAAGAAGAAAAAAAAAAGAACACTCTGATACGTCACGGAAGCTGAATGAGAAATACTGAAGCTGATGAGATCCCGGACACTGGCTGGGAACTTACGTGTTGACGATGTAGAAAAGTTTGGATCAATTGTTCATGTGCTCTACAAAGAAAAGCTCTGACAGTTTAAAAGAATGTTCCATGTAGTACTAGTAACTTGCCCAGCAGAGAAGCACATCATTCATTTAGCCGTTGCCGCGGATTTCCTGAATTTATTTCTGGTTGCATGTAGATCCACAAGAATACGTCATGACAGTGACAATCATGAGCAATGATTTCTCAATGTATTCTCTCCCACCACATCTTACAAATTAACTGAAAATTTCAAGCTGTTCAAAGTACATATCTGTATTGCACGCTTTCCTAAATACATTTACAATGTATCATATATAAAGGCAAAGTACCATTCTAAGAGGACCAATTACTATTGTGGTATTACAAAGTCTAGTGATCTTTTTTGCTGTTTCAATCAGAGCAGCTGGTGCATGTAGTTTTAGAACAAATTTTTGCTAAGAGAATATAGCTAAAGACATTTTCTTCTCAAAAATGTGATAATCTAGAAAAAACATGGCAACGTGATTGGGTAAAAAAACTAACACGTGATCATCCAACCTTTTTCCTTACAAATTATACTAGTTCCTCATCAGAACTTTTTCTTAGCTGTTTTTCTTTCCCAGATGGCATATCAGATCTACTTGTTTCTTGGGCTTAGGAAACTTAGGAATTACAGTAGACTTGGAAAACAATGTCAATCAATAGAAAGAGAATTAAAAAAGCATTTCTACTTTAATACTTCTAAGTAATTATATGTGCAACATGCTGATATGTGAGATTCTCAAAGTTCAATCTAATTCTTTTGTATTTGTTACTGCCAGATGACCAGGACAAATGGAGAAAATGTTGATAAAAAATTTAAGTACACATAATACAGGGATTAACTGAGATAACAGTCACAGAAGTTGCTGGAAAGAAATGTAGATCAGTGGGGTAGACCTATCTTAATCCCATTTTAATCTTCCAAAATGGTCAAGTACATGTATGTAGCATCAGATAAACACAGCAATGGCCAGGCGACTTTCTCATTTTCTCCCTGATTTACTTCCTTCTGACTGTTCCAGTGGACATACCAGTATTCCATCCCCACTGGCCTAAAGTCTAACTGTCTGACTCTCTCATCATAACTTATAATTTAAAGCCCTTGAGCAGCACCCAGGGGAAGTGAAGAACAGGGTCTGTCACCAGAAGCTCCACGGAGGCTGTTTGAATCCGTTGAGCGGGACGGAGGTGATGTTGACAGGGATGCTGATGGTGGCTGCTGGGAGATGGTGGGCCTGCAGGGACTTCTTGATCATGGACCTGTACAGAGACATACACTGAGTTAAAACACATTTACACAATGATACACATTAAAAGAAATACATGTATACAGGGAACATTCCCATGGACCTTTTTATACTAGGGTTAGCTCTCTAGGACATTTTGATAGAGGTGTTCAATGCTCCCTGGATGTTCTGCGCTAGAGTCTACTTCCTAGGACTTCTGGTGGCTTGTGCTGCATACCTCAATGTACTATCACTTACAAGTAATGGCACAGAGGGCTAAGCACTGTACCTGAACAGCTGCAGCTGACCAATATATAGTGATGATGTATTTACACCCCAATGACAACTGCATGTACTCACTCAACTACTACTACGACTTCCCAATAGTACATGTGCTTGTAATCAAGTAGTCTCGTGTTCAAAGCTATTTTAGCTGCACGGAGTCTCTTTCATCCTCTTTACAATTAGAAGAGGATGAAAGAGACTCAGTAACTAAAGTAGGTATGGACACCAGGCTGGTAGTGGAGTGGCTGACCCGTCCTTCCCCAGCAGGAAGGCTGCTGCGATGCCGGTGTCCCTCTCCGTCTCGTCCTGGATCATGTCCACCCAGTGCTCGTTGTCCTGCTGATTACTGTCATAGATCACCACGGCAACTGCTCCGTACTGCTCCACCATCAGGGCTTTGGACATGAACGAGCATCCGCTATAGAACAAGACGTGCACAGCCAGGTGTCAGTTATAAAAAACAACATAAGTAGTTGGTCACAAAGCTTGATTATTTTGTGGAATCTGTTTAACAGGAAAAATTATGAGATCAAATAACACCTGACACCATCTTAAAATCAACATATGAGGAAAAGTTTTTCCAGTTGTATGGTTTCTGTAACACTGTAAGCAGCTAGTTACACAATGCAGGCTAAAATTGAGTCTATACGTTTTGAAAAGACAGCATACAAGTGATGCTGAGGTGTGATTTTGCGAAACATGAGGTCACAATCAATGCCTACCCTCTCTCTACCATGGCTATAGCTCCTTGTAGAGATTGTCCGTTGTTTAGTGAGGAGCAAGACTGGGCAGGATCTGTCGGCACTAAGTGGATGTGATCATAGTGAAAGTCCTGAAACACAAGAAAGCACATGTCCTATCATACATGCTGAGAGAAGACATATCTCTTAAAGTATGTTTGTGCTTTGAGCAAAAAGAATTGATGTAAATGGAGAAAAAAATGTTGCCAGTACTTAAGAAAAAAGTAAGAAAATGTACAGTGTACAAGGTAAAAAAGTGGACATATTAGTATTTTACTACTATCTAAAAAAAATGATGAATTGGAAACTCTTTCAGAAACAGGTCACAACCCATTACAAACTTACAAATGGTGCTCCAAAGTCCTTTGCTGGCCTGATCTTGAAAAGGTAGTTGATGTCCTGGGGGTACAAAATCTCAAAGTACAGTTGTTCGTTGATGGAATGAGCTGCAGGAAAACATGAAAATAAACATTATACAAAATGTAGCATGACTGTCAACACCAAACTGAAAGTTGACCTGTTAAAAATCTGTTCTAAACGAAAGACATTTGTTTAAGTTTGAGCCAGAAATGTGCATTTATATCAATTTTATCACTTGCAACTTTGGAATCCTGCTTTGTTTTATAGGGCCAAGAAGGTACTAGTATCATTACATCTGGGGGGGGGGGGCCTACATCAATTTCACATCCACATAGCCTAGCGGCGACCAATGGGTGACCAGCATTCCGCGCCACGCCCACTTTGCGGTCGATTCCATTCGACAATGGGGTTGAACAGCATCCTTCCGTACGGCGCGGCAGGTAATCGGAGTTGGAAATGTCAGATAAACAATGTAAGAATTGGTGTATTTGGGGTGAAGATAATGCAAGTACCGAAGTTACGGGTTCCTTTCTCAGCACTCAGTATGAGGCGGCTTCCGTCCTAGATCTCCAGTGCCGAAGGTACGTCAACACTTGGTGTGTCGGCGGCTTCAGCACTGGAAACTCGGAATCGGCAAATCAAACCTTGTCTTTAAAAAGGGTATCGAGATGCTGCCACTCATATTTTCGAGATCATACCGCCTGGGTAACAAAGTTTAATCGGGACAACATCGGCAGGACAGGACTGCAAGGCCTCTTTTCTTACATTTTCACAGACAAAGACTTGGCCTAAGATACTGTTTTGTACGCCGCGCGGCCGACGTAAGCACCAGAAGCCCAGTGCCGAAATGGTTTAACTCGGCTCGGTAGTTATTTTGCTCCAACTATTCAAAGACACAGAATTTCAGAAAACAATATACAAATGTATCTTTTGAACAAGTTTGAGAAACATCTTTTTCAACCATATCTTGCTAAAGCGCGGGTTGTGGGTGTGGCCGAAATGCTGCCCGCCTATTGGTCCCCGCTAGGCTGGCTTGGATGGGAAATT